AATTATAACCCCTTAGAGTTAAAACTAAACAAAAAACATTTTAAAGATTAGTCACTGTATGAAACCAAAAAGGGAACCATTACAACTTAATGAAAAAAACTTTATTTTGAAAAATGTTTTCATCTGATTCTAATGTATATTGACTTATGGATTTGAATAATTACATGAAAGAGCTAAAGGGAGGGGGGGAAATTAACAGTAATCTAGCAAGGTAAAGAATAAAAATCCCTCTTTTTCCCCTAATTTCTAGTTTGACAGGAGGGGTCACCCAACAGAATCCTGTCCGTAAAAACAGCTCTAGTACTGTGCTTTGAAAAACATCTGGCTGCATATAATTCTTAATACATTATGTGATGCTCTTGCCCTTAAGACTTCTAAAAGTAGCTATAGGTTCCAGCCTGGCACTTCAGGTAATGAAAACGATGACCAAACAATGCTTTAGGATAAAAGTAAGAATGTATCATATCTTCTGAGTTTTCTTGAAGTAGACTGTCAGATCAAAATCTTTAGTTTAAAAAAAAAAACCTGAAAAAGACCACCATCCTATTGCTCAAAGAATTGCACTCAAATGATGTATAAAATGGACTGGGCTGACACTGGTTCTTTCATAAAGTCATTTAATATAAAACTTCATATTTTTAGCAAGGATGAGCAACTGCAAGGATCTGTTACTCCATTATCCTCTGGTCTTCTAGGCTACTTTGTGTTGAATTTATCTAATTCAGATTTTGAAAACTTTAATACCATTTTCTCTTTGTTTAAATACCAGTTCCTTAGCTGTGTAGTCCTAAGGGTAATCTGCTTTAAATTCTCAAAATTTGTACCAAAAAAATGTATACAGTGTATTCTAATTGCTAACATTTACAAAACTTGCACTCCATCAAATTAAAAAAGAATAAGACTCTTTAATAGTGCATAGAAGGCACAAGAGCTTCTTAGTATATTTACTGAAGCCAAACATTTTGGCATCAACAAACACACCACTGTAGTTTATCTTAAACTCAGTTTCCAAACAGCACACCATTCAGTTCATGTGGGACTAAATTTCCAAAAGGATATGACTTTTGTTTGATGATTTGCATAATTTAATCTTAACAGGTATTTGAGGACCTATGTAGTTTAACTGTCATACTTAATATGGATGTCAATGAAGGATTAATCCATTGGCCCATCAGGGATTCTTAACAAAAATTCAATGTTTGCTATGTTCAATAGAAGAAATAACCTAAAGAGACTTTTAAAAGCTAAACCAGCAAAAGAATATCATAAACCAATCTTCATAATTGTTATTATAGACTTTCCCCCATTTTCAGATAATTAAAATAAATGAAAAATATATTTCTGATGTAATAGAAATGTATTAATTCTGACAAAGATTTTCCAGCCAGTTGAGCTCAAGCTTCAATGATCACACTTCTTTTCCAGCAGGGAACAAAGGCTAGAATTAAAGTCTGGCCAAAAAAAAAAAAAATGGATGGTCATCTTCAACTGCAGGCCACTTGAAATTTGTAATGAATTCATAGTTTTTACAGTTCACGCAGCCTAAGGCTAGATTCGCATCAGAGGGAGGAAACAAGTCTCATCTGCTACCTCCACCTTCTCGTAGGTATCAGGTTTTACGAATAAAGCTTATCATTATAATGTTACGTGAAATCTTTTAAATCTCAACATCTTAATAGTCTCAATTTTCTGAATCAGAGGATCAGTGGGTTTTTTATGTGGTAAGTTGTGCTCCCCAAATATCTGGGTGAAAACTGGCCCATGAATTTATTCCAAGTTTTTATGACAGAAGATATTTTTGTCCTTGATTCATAAACCATAACTACTTTTAATGTTTAAGAGGAATGTGTGTTAGTTGAAACAATCTGTATACTGGAGTAAAAATGTGTTATGTTTTAAGCAACAGCTCAGAGAGAAACGGTCAATTCACATTCTGCATATCCAGCCAGAGGGGTTGGGAACAGCTAGCTAGTGGTGCCTTCCTGCGGGAAGCCTCTTCCATCCATCCACAGCACTGATTACCTTGGGATGAAACAGAAAACATGAAACTCTCGTGTTAACTCTAAAAATACAAGCAAACAAAAAATGAACCAACTCATTCATTGTTGCAATAACACCCCTTGTTCAAAATTAAATGTTTTCTATACTAGAAGGCTCATCAGACGAGTTCTTGAATATAGACAGAACTTTACATCAATTCTCAAACTATAATACACACATACAAGAGAAGAGGATCTTGTTAAAATGCAGAAAATACAGATTCTGATTCAGTAAGTCTAGGGTAAGGTCCACAATTCTGCATTTCTGTTAAGCTCCAGGTGATGTCAATACTGCTGGTTTGGGGCCCCAATCTGAGCCACAGGGTTCTATGTTCTTAGTTCTGAATTTGTCTGAGGCCAATAGGAGTTTACAAGTGACAAGTGAGTTGTTAGGGGATTTAGGGAAGTAATTCTGAAATACCATGTGCATAGAATCACAGCATTTTCAAGTTTCTATTGTGTAAGAGTGAAGGTTGGGCAGGCTAAGTTTAACCTATACTTTAGCACTATTATGGATTTAGGCACATTTTCACTGTGTGGAAACTATACTGAACCAAGAAATATTTTATAAAAAGGTCACAGGTCATTTACTAATGTAGTTGAAAAAGGAGAAGAGATATCATTTAGTAATATAATCAAATTAGGTGTATCAATATCAGATAATATTGTTCAGTATAAATGTGTATTGAATGAATTGCAAGTCTGAGGTATAAAGCAGGAAAAACTTTAAAAAACTATTTTGACTATCAGCTACCTTAGGAAAATTCAATTTTTTAAGGAACTTTTCACTGGTATGTCAACAGAATGAAAAACATTACATCAGAAAACACTTTTTTTTCTTTTACGTCAACGCAGTTGATTCATGCTACAATTGGGTTTTTATGACCACTACTGTCATATATTTAAATGTAATAACATCAACTTTCTGTGAGATATTAAACGTCAATGATGTTATTTTATCACCCATTTACCAACTGTTTATTTAGAACCTACTATGTGTCTGGCACTGCAAAGGGTTGAGAATAATGATAAACAAACACAACACTGATCTTATCAAAATACTGGGAAATCTACCGGATTTACACACAAAGTTACGTTACTATGTAAGCTTATAAAATATTTAACACAGATAAACCTCACATACAATGGTAATTATAACTAATTCAACGTACTAAAAAAAATCCTGTGAAACTTTGTATGCTTTACAGAACTATGTTCTGTAAAATACTTTGCTTGTGGTATTAGCTAATGATTCGTATTTATATAATCAGTTATATTTTAAGAATTATTTCCAGAAATTTACACTGTATTCGCTAATTAACCAAATTGAGAACATTAAATTTTCACTATCCTAACCATAGTCACAATCAATCTGATCTACTATACCATCATATAGAGTCATCTAAAACCAAAACACTGGCCAAATGGCACACAGGATTACATGGCTATTCACCAAAACCAGGACCAAGTAAAATAAAAACCACATATCCATGAACCACTTCAACACAATTTTGTTTCAGGTGCTACTCTCTTGCTAGGTCGCAGTTTTATAAGTAGAGAGTTATCTGGATAATTTCAATGTTCAATTCTTCATATATTTTTTTAATTTTTAAAACTTTTATTGAAGTACAGTTGATTTACAATGTGTTAATTTCTGCTGTACATCAAAGTGATTCAGTTATACATATATACATATATTCTTTTTCATATTCTTTTCCATTATGGTTTATCAAGGCTATTTAGTTCCCTGTGCTATACAGCAGGACCTTGTTGTTTATCTATCCTACATATAATAGTTTGCAGCTGCTAATCCCAAACTCCCAATCCTTTTCCCTTCCACCACCCTCCCCCTTGACAACCACAAGTCCAATTTTTCATATTGTTTATTGTAACAGTACACACAGTCGTTTGACTTGTTAAGATGTTTATGGCTTTGTTCCAAAGGGGCTCCTTATTGTAGCTTTTTATTGACTGCAGCCTTATAAATAGATTTCACTTTAAGGAAACTAATTTGGAACTATAGGTTTAAAAAAATTACCGGTTCAAGAAAATGACTTGCAATACCTAGTAATTTAAGGATGACACATGCTCTGGGGTCCTACTGTGACCAAAAATAGGGGTGGCAGAGATTTGTGCTAACAAGATATAATTATCTTGTATTTAGACTCAGTGAGATTCAACTAATGGGTGGTCAAGAATAAGACCACTGGATATCCTGAAGAAAAAAATAAAAAATTGCATGATCCTATGAAATGACAAGACAATTGTCATCTAAAGTTCAATATTTTAGGATCAATCTTTGCTATTTAATGCATTACTATAAAAATGAATTTTGTTCAGCTTATATTTTATCAAGTTAACCTAAGTACTAGCTAACATTCAAGCTAAATCCATGTCCAGAGGTCTCTAGCATGACTGATGCAATCCCAAGGGTCAGCTAAGACATCTTGTATTTGAGTCACTCAAAAGTAAATGTTGGGACCTCCCTGGTGGTGCGGTGGTTGAGAATCTGCCTGCCAATGCAGGTGACCTGGGTTCGAGCCCCAGTCCAGGAGGATCCCACATGCTGCGGAGCAACTAGGCCTGTGCGCCACCACTGCTGAGCCTGCGCTCTAGAGCCTGTGAGCCACAACTACTGAGCTCACGTGCCACAACTACTGTAGCCTGTGCCCCTGGAGCCCCTGCTCCACAATGGGGTCGGGGGCCACCACAGTAAGAAGCCCGTGCACCGCAACAAAGAGGGGCCCCCTCTCGCCACAACTGGAGAAAGTCCGTGCGCAGAAACAAAGACCCAATGCAGCCAAAAATAAATAAATAAATTTATAAAAAAATAAATAAATAAATGTTTATGGAAACTATTTGCCCTAAGAGAGCTAGAGAACTGTTGAAAATATAAAACATAACAATAAAGGAAAAGCTTTTCTTACTTCCGTGAAGTATGAATAAATTCTGTTAGAAGAGTTAATTCTCATTCTCCATGGTCAGTGCAGGATTGCTCATACCTTCAAGAAAGAACATAAGTTAGCAATTTTTGTTGTTGCTTTTGAACAAATAGGCAGAGACCTGTTTATTCAGTCATGAATCCTGCCAGTGTTTTTCCAAAAGTGACCTGTACGTAGTATGGGTATTTAGAAGATGTTATATAGAACACATACATACATACAGTACAGTTGGCCACAACCCGTGTCACAAAAAAAGCACTTTAAAAACAGTTAAATATATACACCTGAGGAAGTAGGGGTGTGAATAAAATAATGTAAGAAACATTGAGCCTGGCACTTCTCACACTACCTTAAATCACTGTTTTCTAATTCTTCATCTACCTACCTCATTCTTGTCAAACTAATCTTGGAGCCCTTTCTCATCTCACCATTTTCATATTTCTCTTCCTTCTTGTACACCATCTTTTAAACTTTAAATAATTTCTCAATTTATCTGTCACAGTAACAGAAAATTAATCTATGTCTCCAAACTAACAGCACACAGAAACCAGAAAATCACTTCTACATTAATGTAGAACTATAAAGTGAAATATGAATCTCTTCTGAAAGACAGTTCTTTGTCTTTCTACCCCCCAAATATACATCACTTCTTTGTCTCTAAGGCAACTGAGGGATTCAAAAGGCAAACAGGTGTCATCAATTTTGTTTAGATAATACCTAGTCCCTCCCATAGACTGAAAAATGGAATGGAATGTTTGAAGGTGAAGAGACAGACCAAATTATGAATACTCAAATCATGGGGATCTTCAGAGGGCATACACATTTCTCAAGAACAAGACTCTTTAAAGAAAGAGAGAATGTGATTGATTATATATTAAATAATGACTTCAGAACTTTTCCTCTGACTATCCATTTGTTTTTCACTAAATCCCAAAGAGATTTCAAATAAACCAGGAAAGACTTTAAAGTGCAGTAAGCCAAAGTCAGGCAAGCACTAGGAAAAGGTTTGAAGAAAAGACTAGAAATGAAGGAGAAACATTTGAAGACTTAAATAGGTCAATTTGGAGATTTTCTGGCTAATAGTGCCTTAATTGAGCATGCATGGTTTTGCACTCAGGAGACCACACATATAATATATACACACCCCTGCACATATGATCACATATTTTGTTTAATACTTAAAAACCCTGAGAAATAAGTAGTATGTTAAAGATGAAGCAAAGTCTAAAGGAGGTTAAGTAACTTAACAAATACCACACACTGATTAGGTGCCCAAATTGGGATTTGATATCAGGTCTGTCTGCCTTCAAACACTTCCTTGTTTTTTGCCAATAAACTATATTGACCCAAATAATCAAAAGATTAAAATCAACAATAACAAGAGAACTGTGAGTGGGATATGAAGAAATAACAGGTAGCTAAAGTTATGGCAATTCTGCAATGGCTTTACTTCGACATTTTGAAATGGATAAAACTTTTGAGTAAAAACTACATAATTTGAGATCCCTTTCAGTAGATACTTTTCAACCTTTTGTCTGAGCTTACTGCACTTTTTCCAATTTTTAAATAAATTATATTTTGAGTTTATCATTTTATTTAATATGCGGTAATAAAGATTTGGTTCTCTAAACTGGAAAAAGGCAATGCAAATCTATTTTTCACAAAATGATTTTCTACAGCTTCCAGACATTAATCAAAGCACTTCACAAGCAGTTCTTTGAAAACAGTTCTATATTTACAATGGTAGTCTGACTCCAAAACAAGAAAAATTCTACAGGTAATAAGAATGAAAAATTTTTACCACTTTCACTTTTTAAAAATAAAATATATCGAAATAGCCAAACAAGCATACTCTTACCAGCTTTACCTTTTCCCAGGTTTGTGCTGTTCTCTGTCCAAGACTGAGAATCAGTAAGAAGGTGGCTCTGGGACTCTCTCAATGGCTTTGCAGGAAATTGATGGTTTTCAGGACTGAATAACAATAATTATCATCATGATCATTAGGTTAACTCTTGATAGTATTAGGGTGAGTGTTTTGCAAAGGATGGAACTCAACCCACTTGTGGTGCAAGATAATTGTAGGAGTTACACAAGAGAATTTGGGGAAAACAGGAACAAGGCATTAAATCACACTGACTCACAATGAAAAAAGCGTTCTCACTTCAGTTCACTCTTCTTTCTTCTGATTACAATACAATGACAATCTCTGACTTTGGCAAATCTCCATTCTTAATATGGAGAATAGGCCTCAGCCTAAGACTTTAGCAGGTAAGGGAATCTAGTTAGAACTTAACAGTATTTTATTATTGATTTTATTTTTTTTTAAGTTATATTCTATGGCAAATTATACTAATTTCTCATTTATGACAGTGATATAAAGTTTGGTTTAAAAAAATTTAAGTGGCAATTTAAATAAAAATATTAAAGAAAATATTAATTTTACAAGTGGAAAAAAATATATGAAGATGATGGTAGAAAGATGATAAGTTTGAGAAAAACTGACCTACTTATTGTTTCTAAAGTGGCCTAACTGGTCTCGAACAAAGAATTCTCTATCTTTCTCTATAAAACTGAAACAACAAATTTGAACGTTATCTTGCAGGAATGTTGAAAACATCTGACACTGTCAGGTCTTAAAATTCTGATGTTTAATTTGGTAAATAAAGAGTTTAAAAGAAAGACTTTAGGTTTTAAAATTTAAGTAGCATGCCACATATGACATACTAGATGGTATGAAAAAATATACATAAAATAGCATTTCACTTAGATTAAAAAAATTATTGGCACAGAAACTATTAGTGTATTATTTTACAACACACCAAAATAGAAATTATAATAATGTTCAAAAGAAAAACCCACTTAAAATTCTTCCAAGAGTAATTTCACATATTTTAGTTGACTATAACTATTATATTTTTTAAAGGATATGCCTTTGCTCCTTAACAATTACCTCATATCTAAAATTTGAGACTATTTCAATTTTGTGCTGCTTTAACAACCCCTTCCTAAAATTTTGGGAGGAAAATCTTAAAAAAGAAAAGCTTGTCTCCTATTCATATGAAATATCTCTTTTACTCTAATTCTAATTATTCCTCAGGAAAGGGACCTTAGACCAAGTACAGCTAACTAAGTCCTGGTTTAAGGACTGCTTGGAGAGTCATTACTGCTAACAGGAACCTAACAAATGGCAAGGATCCACTCATTCAACAATACTCATTGAGTACCTGTTACATCAGTGAGTAAAGCCTTTGATTTCGTGGAAATTTTGTTGTAATTGAGGAAGAAGTATAATAAATATATAGTAAGTCAGGTGATAAGGAGAGCTCTGATGACAGTAAAAGACAGTATAAAGGGAATGGAGGGGCAGGTTACGATTATCCAAGGGTTTCCAAAGGCGGCCTCTACTGTAAAGCTACACCTGAGCAGAAAGTAAGGCGAAGGCACAGACCATTCAGATATCCAGAGGAAGAACCTTTAGGAATAGGAACTGGCAAGTACAAAGCCACTAAATAAGGAACATGTTTGGTATATCTGAGGACCAGCAAGATCTGTGTGTCTGAGGATTTTGAGTGTCGGAAAAGTGGTACAGGGTGACATCAAGAGGTGTTGGGGAAGAGATTAGTCAGAGCAAGGTACGGACATTCATTAGCTTTTATTCTGAGCAAGATGGACAATCAGTGGAGGGTTCTGAGCAGAAGAGTGACACGATATGATTTACGCTTTAAAACGGTCACTCTGACATTTTAATGGAGAATAAACAGGGAATCAGAAAGGTCAGTAACAAAGGTACTGAAATAATCCATGTGAGAAATGATGGCTTGGACCAGGAAAGCAGCCTTGGAGGTGGTAAGAAAGTATCCAGGTTATAGATGTATTTGGAGGGGACATCTGACAGGATCTACACCTGTATATACAGGGTCCCCGAAAGAGAGGAATCTAGTATGACTCCCAAGTTTCTGGCCTGAGCATCTGGAAGAATGGAGGTCACTACTACTGATACATGAAAGAATGAAGAATCGAGTTTTGGGTGAGGCGAGGGTATAGATGGCTTGGAATCAAGAGTTCTGCTTTGCACCTGTTCAGCTGGCAACGCCTTTTAGATGTTTAGGTGGGACCACTGTGTAGACAATCAAATATACAACTCTGGAGTACACAGGGGAGACCAGCACTAGCCATAGAAAATTCATAGGGGCTAATCGGGGGAAATTATAGAATTTTGTAGAAGAGACTTTAGCTGTCAAAATCCAATCTCAACATTTAAAGGAAAGGGAAGAGAAGCCCGGAGAGGTTACTTGACCTCTTCTAGATCACCTAGCTGGGTAACAGTGCCAGAACTAGGATTTCTCCCAACGCCCATTGTACATTTAGTAGGAGAGATACTATCTCTAAAACCCAAATAGCCTTAAACTACAAAAACCTCTTAACAAGGATAAAAAACATTATTGAAAACTACTGTTAAACTTTATAAAAGCAGGAAAGCATTTTAAGTAATTTATTAAAACTAGATTTTTCTGCCCTGAAGTATACAAAAAAAAAAATTAGCATTTAGCTCTGTGGAATTTTAAAGCCAAAACTCACAGGGAAGGACCCAGTAAGACTCTGGTGCCTTTGAATGTCCCTGTGACACACATGAGAACGGCCTTCTCATTAACTGGTAGAGTCTGGACTGCACATAGCTCACTCTAGGGATGTTGGGCAGGGGGCAAATAGGTTTCATCTCATGACAATTTAAGATGATTTTGGAATGGCTGCCAGAATCACCACCTTGAGATGGATGCTGGGGTCACATCAGGCTCCAAGGGACAAAGCGCCATGATCAATAAGAAACACGAACTAGATGGGGAGACTATAAGCATAGGTGCTGTGAACATAGCATTCCAGCAACTAAGAAAACGTTTAAAATTTAACTAATGATATTATGGTTATGCTTTTACTATCGGCTTTCATTTAAAAATTAGAGGTATGGTCACATCAAAAAAAGTCTGCCTTGAACATGTAAAAAAATGTTTCAACTTAAAACTTCATGTAGAGCATTTTGAAACGTTTAGAAAGTTTTGCCTTTGGCAGTTAGTAGCCAAGTCAGAATCCAATTTCAAGTCTTCCTCAAATGCCTGATAGGCTGGAACCAAAAGAGACTTAAAGCAGTAGCCAAAGTCTCCAGACAATGAATTTCCAAGACTCCTTCCTTTCTCTCTCCACAGAAATGGCTCAAATCATGCTTAGAGGTCTTTAAAGAGTACCAAGAATATGGTGCCCATTGCTAATGGGACTGTCAAGCAGATGTCTGGGATTCCATTTCATCATCAAAGGCCTGATCCAGGCAGGGAAGTTTTTTGATCTCTATAACGGTTACGGCCGAGAAGAAAGGCCCGGAGGGTCAGAGGGAAAGTTTACCCTGTCTGCTCACCTGATCACTAGGGGGACTAATTTGGACTTACATTATTTTCTTTTAAGCACCACATTTAAAAAAATCATAACTTATTTCAGTTAACAAAAATGTATAGAGAGTTAACACCTGTTTACTGACCACCCAGATTAATAACAGAATTTTATAATTATGACTGAAGCTCCCTATGTAACCCTCCCCAGTCATACTTTCCTCTCACCCTCATTCCAGGTAGAAACCAGTAGAGTAAATTATCTTAAGTTCTTAAAATTTTTTTTCAAAGGAACATATAATCGAAGGACGCAAGAGGATAAAATATATTCTTTGAAAGTAAAATAGAAAAAAAAAATGAACTCACTTTTTAGATGATGAATTCAATCCTGCAGGAGTAGATGGCTGTTCAGGATCCTGGTTAACAAGGCAAGTTGGAAAGGAGCAGCCATCACCTAGACTGTAATTAAAATAAAAACTTACAATTATGCAGTAAAAAAAGATGATCTCTGTGAGTAGAACATAGTTATATTATGGACAAAACGTGTATATCAGACATGGGCTTGAATGTGGTATGTTTATGGAGATGTGAGTCAACTGATTTCCACACTGATATAATAGTGAGTCATAAAATAATACTGTAAAAAATAGTTTTTATGCAGAATTACAGCGTTCTTTTGTTGGATTACTTCCATTTTCAGTCTAAACCCTGAAAATTTTCACAACAAAGTACCTTGAAAAAATGGGTAGCAACCAGTACTTCTTCTCATCACCAAAAACCTGTCGCATATTTTTACCGAAACCCAAGCTGAATCCATTCTTATCTGTTCCATGTCGAAATACTGGACTTCTAAATGCCTCTAGAAAAGATGGTAGAGCAATCACATGAGTAAAGAGCACATCATCTAGCAACCCCTACAGTTAGAAATAACTGAATTAAATGAAGAAACTCTGAAAGCCAATGGCTAGCCTCCTGTGACTGCTTATATGCCTATCAACAGCCCTGCAATGAAGACTGTCTATTCTTTTAAAACAAACATAAAATATGATTAGATCTATTTTAGTTTTTAAGTAACCCTTTTATTCTTGCAGCAGCACATCTGCATTGTAGAAAATTAGAAAATGCAAATAAGCAAATAAAACTTTACATCTTCGGGCTTCCCTGGTGGCGCAGTGCTTGAGAGTCCGCCTGCCGATGCAGGAGACGCGGGTTCGTGCCCCGTTTCGGGAAGATCCCACATGCCGCGGAGCGGCTGGGCCCGTGAGCCATGGCCACTGAGCCTGCGCGTCCGGAGCCTGTGCTCCGCAAATGGGAGAGGCCACAACAGTGAGAGGCCCGCATAACGCAAGAAAAAAAAAAAAAAAAAATTTACATCTTCTAAATCTTTATTAAATGGATGGCTGGATGGATAGAGGAAATAATTACAAATGTACATTTTTTTATCCAAAGTGCGACTAAAGATACATTCTACAACCTTTTTTCAGTTAATAAATTCCATTTTCCAATTTCATTAAAATTTTATCTCATCCAATCATAATTTTTTTTCTAGCTGATCAAAAATGTACTTTAAAGCTCTTTGTCCAAACCAGGGTCCAACGCAGAGATGTACATCATAGCTGGTTATGGCCACTCTGCATATGGAAGCTGAGGTTCAGAGAGACCGTGCAACTTGCTCAAAGTATCACAAAAAATAAATGACAGAAGTGGAACTTGAACAAGGTCATCACAGTTCTGTCTATGATGATACATTTTCTTCTTAAATAATGCCGAGATGCAAAATGTAAAATGTTAGTTTTGGGGTGCAAATAAACATAGAAGTGTAATGATTTCTGCCCATAATTTCAAAAAGGAAAAATATAACTAGCAGAGTCATGGAACTATGAAAAATGTGATTTGCAAGATCCTTAACATTTATCAACCTAGGTTATATAGCTTTTTATAAAACGCTTTAATGACTATAGGACCATACTGTCCAGAGGAAGTCCTTTCAGTGTTACAAGTTAAATCTAGACGTTTCTAGAAGTTAAAAGCTAGTCGAAAAATTTACGTTTGAAAAATAATTTAATTGCTCTACATATAATTTGAAATAAGGTACTTTGTTTAGAAATTATTATACCAATATTTTCACCCTAATAGTACTTGCTGGGATAAGATTTCACCTGAATCCTAAAAATGAACATTCACTGACTATATATTACAATTAATCTTCACTGACTATTATAATAACGGAATCTCACAGCCAGTATCACACTGTTTTGATTACTATAGATTTGTTGCAAGTTTTATAAACAGGAAGAACTTAACAATTTTTTTTGGTGGATATTGTTTTTGCTATTTGGGGCCCCTTGAAATTCCATATGAATTTGGAAATTAGCTTTTCCATTTATGCATGAAAGACCATTGAAATTATAATAGAAATTTCAATAATTTCCTTTGGGATGGTACATTGATAGTATATAGAAATACAACTGATTTTTTTGCATATTGATAATGCAACTTTTCAGATTTTATTAGCTCTAACAGTTTTTATTGTGGATTCTTTACAGTTTTCTATATATAAGATCATTTCATCCACAAAAACAATAGTTTTACGTCTTCCTTTGCGATTTGAATGCCTTAATTTCTTTTCTTGACTCATTTCTCTGGCTAGAATTTCCAGTAGAGTGCTGAACAGCAGGAGTGAAAGACGGAATCCTTGGTTTATTTATTTAGGGCAAAGGTTTATTTTTCACCACTGAGTATCATATTAGCTGAGAATGTTTCATAAAGTCCTTTGTCAGGTTGTAGAAGTTCCCTTCCATCCAGCTTAAGTGTTTTTATCATCAAAGGGTGTTGTATTTTGTCAAATACTTTTTCTGTTACAGTTGAGATAAAAATGTGCTTTTTTTCCCCTTCATTCTATTAATGTGGTACATTACCAGTTATTGATTTTTATACATTGAACCACCCTTGCATTCCTGGGATAAAAGGTTATATACCATGACAAAGTAGGATTTAACATGCTGCTGGATTTGCAGATATGTTATTGGGAATTTCTGCACCTATATTCATAAGGAATATTGGTCTATAGCTTTCTTTTCTTGTGATGTCTTTGTCTGACTTTGGTATTAGGGCAATGTTGGCCTCACAGAATGACTTAGGAAATGTTTCCTTCTCTTCTAATTTTGGGCATAGTTTGAGAATAATTGATGTTAATTCTTAAGTGTTTGATAGAATTCATCAGTGAAGCCAACTGGTCCTGAGCTTTTCTTTGTTGGGAGATTTTAAATGACTGATTCAATCTCCTTACTTATAAGTCTATTCAGGTTTTTATTTCTTCTTGAGTCACACTGGTAGATTGTGTTTCTAGGAATTTGTCCATTATATCTAGGTTACCTAATTTTTTTTTTTAATTTATTTTTTGGCTGTGTTGGGTCTTCATTGCCATGCGTGGGCTCAGTTGCTCCATGGCACGTGGGATCTTCTTGGGCCAGGGTTTGAACCCGTGTCCCCTGCACTGGCAGGCAGATTCTGAACCACTGCACCACCAGGGAAGTTCCAAGGTTACCTAATTAAACTTTTTTATTTCTGCAAGGTTGGTAGTCATGTTCCCACTTTCATTTCTGATTTTCATGATGTGAATCCTCTTTTTTGCTTTCTAGTTATAGGCTTGTCATATTTGTTGATATTTTCAATAAACTAATTATTGATTTCATTGATCTTCTGTTTTTTAGAATTCTGTTTCCATAATGTCCTGTCTAATCCTTATTATTTCCCACCTTCTTCTGGCGCTCGGTTTACTTTTTGCTCTTCTTTTCATAGTTCCTTAAGGTGTAAAGTTACTGATTTGAGGTATTTCTTTTTAAATGTAAGCATTTATAGCTATACATTTCCTGCTAAGCACTGCTTTTGCTGTATCCCATCTCTGCAGGGCTTCTGAACACACTGTTTTCTCTGCCTGAGATGTTCTGGCTCTGACTTCTTAGTTTAAATATACTTTTTGCTTTTGTGAGCTCTTCCCTGACCACTCCACCTAAATAGGTCCCCTTCTACCATCCCCAGACCTTGATTCACACCTGAACATCCTGTTTGTTTCTTTTAAAGCACTTCACATTTTGTAATTACGTTTATGTTTGGTTATTGATTTTCTGTGTCCACCACTAGACTATTTTACCCTTGCTAACCACTGTATATACACAATGCTTTACACACAATGGACAGTCAAAAAATATATGGAATGAGTGAATTTGTATTTGTCCCACAAGACAATGTGGGAAACAAGAATGATTTTACAGCTTCAGGACAGGTTAGCATTTAATCATATGGCAACTTCTGATGACTATTTGGTTTTGTATTTAAAGTTCTGTTAACTACAATAATTGGATACTCACCTAATGTAGATTTATTTTTGCTGACTAGCCAACAATGATAGCCAAACAGAGAAGACAAGCTGACAGAAAACATAGCTGCAGCAAAGAATAAAAACATAATATGGAACTTGGCTTGAGTATCAGGTAGGCCATTCTATAAAGAAAGGAAGAAAATAAAATGTTTTGTCAAAGGGATAAGTATTCCCCTACTTTTATAAGTAAGATTTTTTGCATAAAATTTTTCTTAAATTTAGGTATGGAGAAAGATATATGGCTTTATGTTAAAACTTTGAGGAAAAAATACATCTTCAGGTTCGAATAAATGTTTACTATAACATGAATATACATGTATATATATATGGAAAATATATTAAAATTTGGGATATTTATTTTCTTTTGAATAACCAAATTCATAGAAAAATTATGATGTGTGTAAACTGTATCAGTAGGGAACAAGATAAAATAAGCTATAAAATATAGCTTTTAATTTACTTCCTAAAAATGTTTTGTTAACAGACTCCAGATTTACAAATGCTTAAACAGTTTGATTATAATGCCAGAAAATGGAAGGTTAGTTGGCACAATTTGGCTACTCTTCTTATTGATGTTTTACATCACTACAAACAACAGCATCAACTACAAACACACAGAACACATCCACAGTAATACTTCAAGCTACTTTAAACAACGTCATCACAAAAAAGATCAACACTAGTTTATAACACCTGTCTAAAATAAACCTTACAGTACCCATGGGATGAAAAAGGCCATCTCAAAGCAAAACCAGACTGCTCCTTGTTCGTATGTCCAAGGAGATCTGGAGTCCCTCTAGAATGGCAGGCTTGGGGACACTTAGTGAAGCACCAGAGCTGCCAGGACGTGTCCCCTTCTGATATTCTGTTTCAATATCCTGTAGTACCTGTCAGATTGACCCAGGTCACAAGATCTCACTGAAAGCTTTTGACAGCAGAGTCATCGCAGTGAAAACCAGTCATTCCTTTACAAATTTATTTGTGGTTTGGAAATAAAACCATCCACAGGAATGAGGAGCAGTGAGGCCATAGGCTCTCAGACACTCATTAGAGATCATTCTTCTAGCTGGACACTGGAAGTATCCTTGAACGCTAGGCCATGTTCATTCACCTGTGGATTCCTAGCACTTAGCAATATAACTGGCACATAACAGGATTCAATAAATCTTTAGTATTGAATGTGGTTCAAATCTCACATCAGTGATCTGGCAATTCAGAAAGCCTTACCATAAGAAAGGATAATTTAATGAATGTAATAAAGCAACCCTGGCAGGGGATAACTGTTTTTTTACCATTGTTTGGTGTTCGTAAGGAATATCTTTGGGTATTTAAAACACATAGTTCTAACTTCATTTTGCTTACGTTTAAAATATACAGTGAAGAAAACAAATGAGCTGCCTAAAGCATATACAATACCTAATAACAATTCAGGACATTATAGGTATAATAGTTTAATAATCGTTTTACACATAAAGAAATACTTCTATTTTTCAATACTAAGAAAAACATTCTTCTTATATAGTCAATTCTCGTTATTCGCAGTGGTGCTGTTCTATAAAGTTGCCATGAACACCGAATTTGTGAATCCTGAACCATTTCTCCTGGGAAGATACAGCGTTAGGGTCCTGTAAGCCTCTGGTCACAATATTTTGGTCAAATGATCAATACGTAACCTTGTTCTGTGTGTTTCTGCTTATAAAACCTAATTTATACCTTATTTAATGCATATTAAATAACAGAACTCACAGCCGCCAGCACCATAACTCAGGTCTGAAGGAAGCTTATCTAAACACTAAACACATGTATTTTCTCCGTCAGGCACATCTCAGTCTCTTCTTCTGTTCAAACACTAGACAGCACTTCAGCGCTAGGCTTGAAGACCTTTTAAACAATGAAATCACCAACAAAAAAAGCACAAAAAATGCAAAAGACATGGCACTAAATAGAATGAAAAAGCACACTTATTTACAGTATGTGAGTTCCAACAGGAAGGCAGCAGGTCCTCTGGTTTGATCTCAACTAGAAATGTGCACATGGGTGACTCACATTTTCCCTACTCTGTGCATGTTTGCAAATGACCACAAAAGCTACGTTGAGTATTGACTCTGAGGTTACAGATAAATGTTAGCAAGTAGGTGAATTCACAAACACAGAATCTGCGAATAATGAGGACTGACTATATATAAGTTAGCTCTCTTCTATAAAATTAGTGTCTGGATTAATTCACTACTGAAAATCTATAATATACCAAAAAAAGTCACCAAGGTAATTACTTACAGTCCAAAATTTGATAAAATACTGTAAATCTGTAGCAGCAATAAAAAGGCAGTACAGCAGAGAATAAGCCAAGAAAAGGAGGAAAAATTTATAATTTGAAAATCCAACACAATTGTTCACCCTGTTAACAAAACAAAAACAACATTTTCAATGAGTTTTACATTGTCACCCTAGGTATACATATGCTCAACCTTAATACAAGTATTTTGTTCCCTAACATTTAAAATTTATTGGCATTTCTTTAAGCATAACTCAGAAGATTTCTTTATACATACAAACATTAAAAAATCCACTTCACTAAAAAAGAATTTCTATGTTCAGATTTTTAAAATTTGATATATATGTAATACTGCTTTAATCAATCATGACCCCTGTATTTCCTGTCCAGTTATACAAATAAACACATGCCTTAACCATACTGTGAGAAATATACTAATACCAAGCAGATAAAAGGAATTTTCTAAGTTCTTCTCTGTGTTACCTTTGGGTTTGATTTCTAACTATGATTAAGTAATTTAAAAATCCTTCAAGTTTTCCCAAATTAGATGAAATTTCTTCAGAGACTACTTGCATGCCGTCAGTATAGCACTGAAGCAACCAGATTATCAAAGCATATTAAGTGGTAGGTTTAAGAAAAGAAACAGGACTGGGAACCAGACAGCCAGGTCGTCGTGCACATTTGATGCTAAATAACTATGTGGTCCTGATAAAGTGCTATAGTCTCTAAGAATTTCATTTTCCTTATCTGTCAAACAAGCACTCTGAGATCCTTTCTGAGAGCCTGCTCTATATGTTACGATTCCGAAAATGGAGATATATAATTCTCAGTCCTTTCTCTGAAATCACTCTGTTTGGTAAGAGGGGTGGTAAGAATTCAAACTACTGTACCAATAAACATAAATACAAATACAACTCATACTTTACAGTCACACTTTTTCTATCAAAGCTTTTTCCCCACTTTTCATAAAGACAAGGGAATTCCTAGATAATGTATAAATGTGACACAACACCTAACTGGAACTGGCTGCTATCTTCATGGGTTCACTTTGTTAATTGGTATAATAAACTCGTTGCATAAAACACATAGGAGTTTCCTCTCCTCAAACACCTTTGGTCCTACTCTAATGTTAGTAAAGGTAATCTTGCTCTCTACTGACTTTGCCAATAAACTGAAACATTTTTCTTTCTCTCTTAAGGTGAAACTATGTTCATATGAAAAATGTTTATTCAGTTACACAAGATGAACAAGTTCTAGACCTGCTGTACAACACTGTGCCTGTGGTTAGCAGACTGTACTGCGGAGTTAAAAATTTGCTAAGAGGACAGAGCTCATGGTAAGTGTTCGTACAACTAAAAAAAATTTTGTAATTAAATTCAAAAGTCAAACACTGGGCTTATGAATAAACAGAAATTTGGAACAAAAATGGAAAATGTGTACATCTTCTACCTTAAAAAATATAAGGCAAAGGGAACAGCATTAGATTTAGTAATTTTGGAACTTAAGGGTATTGTGTATGACAAATGCATAAAGAAGGCAAAACTGTGGGTGCACGTTGTATGAAAACAGTAACATTTGCAGTTCTAGAGATTCCAGTGTGAGTGCAAACCAGTTACTGAGATTGCCTCTTATGACATCTGAACGAAATGATGGCAAGAAATCATACTGCAAGCAGTTCCATACTAGCCTAGCCTAAATGTATTCTGTCACAAAAGGATATAGGATATTCCCTGTGCTTCCGTGCGTTGGTTTCAAGAGGAGAGAACGGGCAGACAAAGGCTGGGTGCCTCCATGTGGATGGAGACAACGACTCTTGTGGACGAGGGGAAAATGAGAAGGGACAGGAAAGACTGTTTCTCTTCCTGCAGGAATGTAAGAGGCAGCTTTTGTATTAGATGACAAATAGCGTTTTTAAAGAAAGGAAAATGATTTTGAACATAGATTTTACAACATGTAATTTAGCTTACTTTAACTCCTACTTAGGGTCATGGTGTAATTTGCCATGTCAGAGCCAGGAAACAGGAGAAAGTCAGTAAATAAAGACCAGGTATTTTAGAGTTTGATAGGTACTTTGAACTTGAGGAAATACAGTAATAATATTTATTTTTAATAACATTTTAGTCTCATCATGACAGCTTTTGGTTAGACATTTTAACTGCCTACTACTCTGTAGACTCAATTTGAAAAGGAAGTGCATGTTTCTGAGTCTGAATGACTTTATATGGAGAAATAAAACACATTCTAGGTAAATATGCCTTATATGTTGTTTAAATTCAGGGTAAACAGCTCTTGGCTCTGTTTTAGGGAAATTGCTTTCTGAGTCTAAATTGGAAAAAGAACATAATACAAAAAAAAAAAAAAGATGGAAAGAAAGTAGCCTCTGAAGTCCAAAAAACTTGCTACATGACTTTAAGCCCACTCTTTATCTGAGGCTCACTTTCCTCTTCTTTAAAATGAAACAACTAATTTCTAATAATATCTGTCACTGTTATAAGGATTACAAATTTTTACAGATATATGGATATACCATCTTTAGACATTATAGGCACTCAATAAACTGAGGCTAAAATTTAATTTAATTAGTGCTACCTAACCACTGGCAAGCATGTCAAAGTATATTGTTAATATAATTAATTGATAAATGAAAATTTTATATTAAAAGAAAAAGCACTTCTCTGATAGGAAACCCAATAAGGCAAATACTACAGGATCTCTAGTTAAAAAAGAAGTGTGAGGGCTTCCCTGGTGGCGCAGTAGTTGAGGGTCCACCTGCCGATGCAGGGGATGAGGGTTCGTGCCCCGGTCCGGGAGGATCCCGCACGCCGCGGAGCGGCTGGGACCGTGAGCCATGGCCGCTGCGCCTGCGTATCCGGAGCCTGTGCTCCGCAACGGGAGAGGACACAGCGGTGAGAGGCCCGCGTACCGCAAAACCAAAAACCAAAAACCAAAAAAACAAACAAAAAGTAAGTGTGAGGTTGATCCCCTGCACCCTGATGGGTTCTCTTAACTGGCCACAGCAGATGCCGAAGTAACTGAGAACAGAAGAGGTATGGCTCTATGATTTTTCCAACACTAAAAGTTGACAGATACTGAGCTTCAAAATCATACACAAGACCTGGATAAAAAGGTTCCCCACAGTTTGGGAACATACTAAAGGTCTTAGTAAGTGACTGTTACACATTCACATAATGGCTGTAAAGAAGATCTTTTATATACTGATATGAAACAAATTCCAGTATATATTAAGTGAAGGGAAAAAAAGGCAGAGACCCAGTCCATAAGGCAAACACTTGTGTTAAAAAAATGTGTAAAAAATTTTCTTGGGTGTATAAAAAATATTAAACACACGCACACATACAGATTTTTTTTTTTTTTTTTTTTTTTC